TGTGGTAGTCACTTCTTCCAGTCCCAGTGCTGGGAAAACAGAAACAACCAGAACCCTGGAGCTCATGGACCACAGTAAGATGCAAGCCAATGAGAGACTCTGTCTCTAAAGACAAGGTGGGTAATATGCCTGAGGAGAAATACTGCCCAGTTATCCTCTGGTGTTTACATGCATGTACATACCTGTGTGGTCAAACACACATGTGTACACGTGCAGGTGCACGCGCGCGCGCACACACACACACACACACATACACACACACACACACAATGGGTAAAGGTTTAGTGTCTTGTGAGGCCTTCTCTTGGCACATATATGGCTAATTTCTCCATGAGCTTTCTGGGACCTAAAATACAAGGCCACAAATTTCACTTATAAAGGCCTCGTCTTCATGACCCAATCACCATCCCAAAGCTCCCCTTCCCAAGTCTCCCATCAATCACCAGGTTTTAGAATCTGGATGTTGTGTGGACATACGCATTCAGTCAAATACAACACTCTAGCAGTAACATTATGAGGTTTACACAGCCCGACAGCATCAGCACAAGAAAGTCACAATTTGATCAACCATGTTATCAGGAAGGCTGGATTATCTTCCTATAAATAATAATAATAATAAATATACACTATGGTAAGAGATGAATAAAAATGTTAAATAAAAACATAGAAAAAAGAGTTATGGTATTAGACAATTAGTAGAAAGGTTGTATATTTATATTCTTGGTGATATGGAGATTAAAAAAATTTGTCTTTGCCAATTTGCTCATTGCTCCTCTCTCTCTGTTACTGGGTTCCTTGGGTTCAGTTCAGTGTTTAACTGTGGGTGTTTGCCTCTGCTTCCATCGGTCACTGGATGAAGGCTCCAGGATGGTTATAGACATCAAGTTCACTATCAGGAATGGGCATTCCAGGTGATCTCTCCACTATTGCTTAGCTTGCCAGTTGGTGTCATCCCTTTAGATCACTAGAGGTCACACTGGTGCCTGATCTGTCTTCTAACCTATGATTCCCTCTTCCCCCTATTCTACCCTCCACTCAACCTTCCTGTTCCCCCATGACCTACTCTCTCTTCCTCTTCCCCCCATTCTATTTCCCAGCTCCCCCTCCCCCTCCCCTCGCCGTGTTCCCCATCTGTTCAGAGGATCTTGCCTCATTTCTCTTCTCTTGGGTACCATGCATATCTTTTATGTTCTTTCCTGTTTCTCAGACTCTCTGTCATTGGAAGTGCAGACTGGCACTCTCCTGATCCATGTCTAAAATCCATATATGAGTGAGTACATACCATGTTTGTCTTTTTGTGACTGGGTTACCTCACTCAGGATGGTTTCTTCCAGTGCTATCCATTTACCTGCGAATTTCAAGATTCCATTGTTTTTTTTCTGCTGAGTAATACTCCATTGTGTAAATGTACCACATTTTCTCTATCTACTGTTCAGTTGAGGGGCATCTAGGTTACTTCCAGGTTCTGGCTATTACAAATAATGCTGCTATGAACATAGTGGAGCAGATGCTCTTGTTGTATGAATTTGCCTCTTTTGGATATATGCCTAAGAGTGGAATTGCTGGGTCTTGTGGTAGATTGATTCCTATTTTCCTGAGAATGGGCTGGCAAAACCAGCAGAGACAGCTGATCCGAACAGGAGAGAGTTTTTGGACCCCAGACCGACAGCTGGGAGGCCAGCATGGGACTTATCCAGACCCTCTGAATGTGAGTCTCAGTGAGGAGGCCTGGGCAACCAATGGGGTCCTGAGCAGTGAATCAGTGTTTATCCCTCGAATACCAACAGACATCGTGTGTCCATAATACAAAGAGGGATGCTCTCTCAGCCTGGACTCTTAGGGGAGTGCCTGGACCCTACTTTGAGTGAAATGACAGACTCTAGATATCCCCTATGTGGAAGTAATTGGCAATAGGGTGGGGGGATGCGGGAGGAGGGGAGGGAGAGGGAACTGGGATTTACATGTAAAACAAGAGAAAAATAATTTTTTAAAAGAAAAAAATTGTCTTATTCACAAAACAAATGATTGCTTTTATAGCTAATTTTATATGTTCAATTGGTTTCTCTCAAAGAGTGATTCAAACTGTATGAGTTTTAGACCCCATAAAATCACTCTGGGCTATAGTTTGTGCCTCAACAAAATTCGTAAGAAAATAATGGAAGTGTGCATAAAATAGGTGAATAGTTATCTCTCAGTGTCCATGGGGAACTAGTGCCGGCCTCCATATATCAAAGCCTACAGATGCTCAGACCCATCATGGGTAGGCCAAGTGCGTGTTTGCATGTAACCTGTACACATCCTCCTGCACTTACTACAGATATTGGGTCTGGGAACATGGAAATACCCCTGGATGCAGAGAGACAGTTTCATCTAAACTCTGCAATTCTTTCATAGAAAGCTTCCCCAGTCCTAGTCCCAGTCCTCATCAATCCTCAGACTCTTTCTTCTTTTTCATTCCAGTTTTGCTGTTGTTGATTTATTGGTCTTGTAATGAGATCTCACCCTGTAGCCTGTCATGGTTTTGAGTTCTTAATCCACTCATGTCAGCCACCCCCGCCCCAAGTGCTAGGATTATAGTCATGTACCTCAATACGCAGTAAACCCTTAGCCTCTTCCAGTAGCCCCCAGACTGGCCTTCAGGATGCCGTACCATGCTCCCTCAGGTCTAGCCCACTTCTCCCTGCTCTGATGCCTGGCTACTGACTTTCAGTAGGTTGCTTCTATGCATATGCCACACATCCATGAACTGCAAGAAAGAACTGGAATAAATGAGAAGGTTCCCTTGGCTGCCTGCACACTTCAAAATCCTGAACTTAACAACGGAAACTTCTGGCGGCCACCCCTTCTATCAGAATCCTGGAACAAGGTTGAATTGACGCTGCTCTTCAGCCCCTGAAAGGTGTCCATCCCTAAGTGCTGTCAACTCTTGGGATGTAGTATCTGCTTCAAGCATGGGTGTGAAAATAAACCACACTCATACCTAGATCAGCCGACTCTTGCTGCGGGTGTCGTCCAACCTCAGATGCCATTGAGGGCACTGCTGTATTTTGCAATACAGCCGTTCCAGACACAGCTAGCTCCCCACTCGCATATGGTCAAACAGAAAAGAAACACAGAGCCTCCTGCTGGCTGTCCGTCTGGGGCAATTTTTCCTTGGTTATTTATTGATGGGACATCTCTAAGGTGGTTCTGTTCCCTCTGCTAGTACAGATGTCACAAACTAGCATCTGGCAACAGCTGTCACCTAGCCTTTGTTCACCTTGGGAACCAGCTCCTGTGTGCTTATATGGGCAAAGCAAGAATTGCCTGGGCATTTAGGAGAATATTGGGGGGAAGGGAGGAAGAACTAAACATAATATGGCAAGAAGCTCTTCAAACAAGGATCTTCAAGAATTGCTGTTTATGCGTGTACCCTTAGTGAGAGAAAAACAGTCAACACAACACTTTTCCAGAGTAACTCAAAAGCTGCTTCACATAGAGCAATATCTGTACGTGTACATAGTGTACACATTCATACAGTCACTGTCCACACACACACATACACAAACACACAATCACACACAATCTCTCTCTCTCTCTCTCACACACACACACACACACACACACACACCATACTTTTTCACTACTGTGGATCCACGTTTGAACTAACAACTGCCCCTCCAAAGGGCAATAGCACATCCATGCTCTCTTATATTTACACTTTGGCTCTGAAAGCTGTTTCCTTCTTTTGCTAAAAGATTCAGGCCTCCACTACAGATTATTGATGGGCTTTCACAAGACATCCAGATTTTCCAAGTATGTTTGAATTTCACAAGGCCTGAGTGTGACGAAATTCAAGGCAGCCAACACTCTCCAACTCTAATACATCTGATAAAGGCCTGAGGCTTCTGTTAAATTAACTAGCAACAGTTAGCAATTATAATTCCAGGGCAAGTGAGAAGTGAGTTCATTAACTAGTTAATTGTGCCATTCAACACAGACATCAGCCTTTCAGATGTATTTCTAAGCAGGTGTGGTTTTGTTGTTGTTGCAAAGTTTAAAAATCTTCAAACAAGGTTCTGTGTGGATACTAGAAATGTAAGCTGGGCTATTTTCATTCAGAAAGAATCAATTCTTGAAATACCAGTGGAGATAATACCTGAGTCTCTTTGAATTCTATTATTGCTTTGCTTGACCATTCCAGTTTGATATTTTAATGATTTGAAAAAATATAGATTATGTAGGATTAGCTGAAATATCAAATGTTTTCTTATCTAATGCCCTGTGAATTCAGCCATTTAACTTTAATGTACAAAATATTGATAAAGTATGTGGGATTATACCTCAAAGGGATAGGTGTTGGGTACGTGGGTTGCAAATGATTGTGAAACAGCAAATCTGAACTTCCAATGTGAAGAAATATTAAATTATCGTCTTTTGGGGGGATAATTTTTATGTACCTTTTTATTCTTACTAAGGAATGAAACTAAGACTCCTCCCCAATCCCTTTTGTATCTTTATTTTAAGAGAGTACCTGTGAGAGATACTTAGTGAGACAATATAGCCTAGGTTGGTCTTGAACTCACTCTTACCCTTCCATTTTCCTTCCTCAGTCTCCGCAGTCGTTGGGATCACAGGCCTGTGACCCCACACCCAGCTCAAGCTTTGTCTTTGGGAAATTATGCCAGGTACTTCTGCCTGGCACACATTTCAAGCGTTAAGTTGGAGGCATTGAATCAACACACATCAAAGGAGGATAGAATTTTAATTCTAGAAAACCAAATTATTCCAGTGATTTGGCCAAAGGTTACCAGGTAGATACCGTGAATCCTTATGTTAAATATTATTCATCTCATGACAAGAAACAACTTTAATCTCAGTTTATTATGCATGGAATATTGCAGCCAAAGACCAAAGGTATAAAAATCCCAAGGCCATAAGAACTCGCACTGAACAGTATGGTAAGCTATTTCTTTAATAGACTTGGCAGGCAAATACAATAAAGCTCAAAATCCACTTACCTTCAGTTACCTTCACAGAGTGTTCAAGACCAGCACTGCTATCCAATGACTTCGGTTTCTGAAACCCTCAACACAAAATGTACACCAAACAGTGCTATAGATGTAACTCAGTTGGTAGAATGCTTGCTAGCAAGCCGGAAGCCCTAAGTCTCCAGCTTTAAAACTACTAAGAAGTCTAACGGTGGGTCTAACAGTCACGGGAGGTAATGTTAACCTACAGACTCTCCAGTTTATCTTCCTTGTGCTACAAGGTCTGATAAAGTCTTGAACTTGTTAAGCTACTTTATTCCTTTAATTTTCCCACAATTAAGTTGTAAAATAATTGGGGTCATGATTAAGCATTCATATAATGCTTTATACATTCAGAGTGTTTTGCAATCTCCTATTTTACAAAGTACATTGTTCTGCATATCAGGTTTTATCATGTCTTGTTTTGGCTTAAGAACCAAGTTCTACATGATCAGATTAAGAAGCAATATATCAATTTTAGGAGCAAAGGTGACTCTTGGTACAATGTGAATACCTATTATTTGTTTGCACACTTTCAACCTTTGGACAGTCAATACGAGCTCCTGAGTTTATTAGGAGCCAAAGGATTCTGATGCAAAGCATGATGGTGTCTTTTCAAGGTGCCTCCAGAGGGCCATGCAAGCAGGAACTGAGCTGTGCCCCTGTTCAAGGAACTCATGGTCAAGAGGAGGGACCCTAATTTCTCTCTACTAGAATCTTGCCTGTTATCAAAGCAGGAATGGGCCGCAACTGTGCAAAGCAAGTACAGGGGAACCATTCTGACACTTCCAAGGGAACTGTATTATATACAGTCATGTGCTACATAACAACAAGGTCAATGATTGACTGCATAGGCAATGGTGTCTGGGAAGCTATCACTTAATGATGAGATAGCCATCCTCCTGGGGACGCAACATATGAAAAGTGCTTAACAATAAGGTCACTTAACAATGCATGAATTGTATGTGGAAATGACACAGCCTGTCCCATATTTATCCAAAGGTATAGTTCACTAATTCTTTCAGTAGAAAAGAGAGCCAGAGCAATGGATTTGTTTGTACTTTCATTCCCATTCTTGGTCATTGCTGCCACATGAGATCCTTTTCTGCTCAAGGTTGACATCAGTGCTCTGTTGGCTCCCCTAAGAAGATAAAGGTAGACGTGGCCTTCCTTTTTCCAGAACTTTATGAATCCAATGGTAACATATAGCTACTGCAGGGTCAGCTCTACTGTGAAGTCACAGTATTTAACGGACAAGGAACCACAACAAGATTACAGCAGAATGTCACTCTTCCTTGTACCTCAACAGGAAGCTCTGTTAGGTTTAGGTTTGGGCAACTATTCCATCCCCTGAAAATGTCCTTTTTCTCCTGAACAGTCTTGTTCTAGACGTCTCCACAGGAGTCTTAACCTGCACCGTGTGCCCCATTCAAGGGTTGTGTGATGGGTCAGTTGACAAAGTGCTTCCCTGGAATCACGATAATCTGAGTTGTACTCCTAGGACCTACACAACCAGCCACGGTAATGTGCAATTATAATCTCAATACTGGGAAGGTGGAAAAGATAAATCCCTGAGGCTTGCTGGCAAGGCAGCCCAGTTCACTTGGTGAACCCCTGGCCAGTAAAAGAAGCAGTCTCAAAAAAAGCAATGTCAGATGGTTCAGTGGTTAAGAGCACTGGCTGCTCTTCCAAAGGACCAAGCATCAGTTCCCAATACCCTCATGGCAGCTCACAATCATCTGCAACTCCAGTCCTAGGAAATCCAACACCCTCTTCTGGCATCCACAGGCATTAGGCATGCCCGTGACATACAACATGCATACACACAGACAAAATGTCCACACACAAAATAACAAATAAGCTAATTACAAACAATGTGCAGTGCTAGAAAGATGGTGCCATCAGCAAAGTTCTTGTCTTTCAAGCCCAAGTTTCATCCCCACTATCTACATTCCCTTTTTAAAAAGCAAGAAGCACACACGTGTGCCTAGAATGCTGCTCTGGGGCGGTAGAGGCAAGAACATCCTCAGGCTTGCCTAATCCTCAATTCCAGTTTATTGAACAACCGTATTTCAAAAACTAAGATGGAGATCAAGTGAAGAAGACATCCAGCCATCCTCCACACACACACACACACACACACACACACACACACACACACGCACGCACACACACACGCACATGCACATGCACACCCACTCATGTATACATACATGCACACACAAAGCCAAAGTGGGTGGTTCCTGAACAATAGCAGTTATGGTTGCCTTCTGATCTATACACAAGCACACATATTTTGTTGGATACAGTAGCATATACAGACATGTGCATATGCATACATACACACACACAAGCGCGCACACACACAGGGTGGGAGGGGAATAGTTCAGGAGGCTCTGTTTCTAACTTTGACAGCTCAAAGTTTAATGTCGTGCAAGTCTCCATGTTACAAGGTGAGAAGATGGAGTATCACCCCATCCCCCAAACAACAGTGAGTATGGAGACTGAAAGCATTACCTGATTTCCTTCCTAAAAATCTCAACTAAGGAAAGGGAAGTGCTGCCTCACCAAGAGGATCCATGGTGTTTTTCATGGGGAAAAAACAACTCAGTCTAATGTCAACGAGCTAAAGCTGTGTATCCTGTTGCCTGGCTCAGTGCCTGTGCATTAAAGGGAGGTTTAGGCACTCTCCCATTCTCTTCATCTCTCCAGTAATTTATTATGCCGGACACATACATAAGTTGGTATATAGTAGGTGAGGGTAGACAGGCACTTTTGTTTTTCTTTTCTGCTTCTCTCTCTATGCAGACCCGTCTTTCCCTCTCACAATCTGTGTTTTGTGCTGGGTGGATTAACCAGTCAGATTCATCCTTGAGCACCCTGATTGGTCCAGTGGGACCCATTCTTCTTTCCCTCCCTTCCCTCCCCTTCAATATTTCTGGCACATGGGCCATGTAACCATGAGGGTCCGTATTTCCAGATGAGCAGAAAGCCAGGCTGGGACTGAAGCTGCAAAGCCAGGCTGAGCGAAGCAGGGGGGAAGGACAGAGAGGTCAGAGCAGACAGGGAGATGGGAACCATTTGACTTTCTGGATACAGCCACAGAGACGCTGAAAATACCCTTTTCTGTGTCTAATCTGGGTTTCGGTTCTCACTCTGGACAAACTTTGTTCTGGAAACGATTATATCCAAATGTTAGCAGTGTCAACTATGACGTTGGCATTTTCTGCTTTATCAGTATTTCCTTTTTTAAAATAATAACTGCATTCTACTTATGTGATAAGAAACCTACTTATATATAAAAGTGATTGGGTAGTGATGGAGAGACTGTAGACCTGAGGGACTCAATGGAAGGCCTCTTCTTCCATGTCCCACTGCCCGTGCTGAGAACTCCAGGGACCATGCTTGGTGGACCACAGCGCTTGTACCAACTGAACACTTCCCTGTCTTATCTCCAGACAAAGGTTCCCAGGGCAATGGCCAGGATTTACTATTTGAAAATCCTCAACCCAGCATTGTGCCTAACTCAACGGTTATCACTTATTATAGGTTGTTGACTCTCTGGTTTAGGGACTCTGATACTTATAATCTCATTAGAAAAACAAAAAGCACAAGGCGAAGGCATGTCCACCTCCCAGAGTGACTGAGTAACACTGCCAGACTGACATTTCTAGTGCTTACAGGAAACAGAGAAGAAGAGAAAGATCCAATGAGAATCACCCTGTTTCTTCTCAATCTCTGTCTAGACCAGCACCATGCCATACATGCATACATACAGATATATACGAGTATAATATATATGTACATACATGTAACTCTTACAGATGTGAAGTTCAGCATAAGTAATCACTTGAACTAAAACCAACTCTGCACGTGGACTCATTAAAAAGTAAAGTGAAGGCAATTAGGAGTGGTGGCATATGTCTGTCACCTAGCCCTTGGGATTGTGACACAGGAAGATCACCAGTGTGATATCAGCCCAGGCTTAACAGAAAGTCCCAGTCAAGACTGGACAACATAGGAAGACCCAGCCTCAAATGGAAAACAAAACTGAGAAGAAATTAAATGAAAGAGGTAGAAAGGGGAAGAAGGAGAAAGACAGACAGAGTCAGAAAGAAGAGAGAAAACACATGAAATATTTAGTAGCATATGACATTTCACTGGATATATCCAAGATACTATTGTTCCATGTGCACTTGGTTTAAAAAAATTACCAGGCTATTTTCTCTGTTTACACCCTAAGTTTTGGAGACTGGTCTGTTTATTTTTACATTTGAAGCACATCTCAGTTCCAACACGCACTTCATGTGCTCCATAGCTGTATGTGACTAAGAGTGCCACAGCAGAGAACACAGTTCTGTACACCTAACACTCCCAGAAAACAGCCGGTCCTGCGGTGGCCCTGAGGGACAGCTTCCAAGTTCCTTCCTGACATTCTGTGGCACACCTCTAGCATCTGGTGGAGACGTGAAGTTAAAAGAAAATTGGAACGATGCAGGTGAGCGTACTGGCTCCATGTTCCAAGGAACAGTCCAGGGCAAGGGCTCAGACATTGTAGTTCAACATCAAACCGCTGTGTCCTGCTTTCCCTAAAGAGCTTGATTTTGACACGGTACCTCAGGGATCCATTCTTTACCATCATGGTTTTCTGTTTCTTTTGTAAGGAAATTCGAAGAAATATAAACACAGTAGAAATCTTTGGAGGCTGAACAGAATGAGAAATTAAGAACAAAAATGTCCTTTCCAACGTGTCTGAAAATTAGACTTCGGTGGCCTAACTTGTCCTAAGAAAGTCCCTACAACAGAAACATGGTTTCCCTACCAAATGGAGGTATGTTGTTGCTCCTCCATGAAAAATTTCTCGTCACTCATTCACTGGGTACCCCACATTCTCAGGCAGATGTGGGGAGAGCAATACTCCCTGGGCTTTGCACATGGTTGCGGACGTGAGGGATGACGTCTAGGGCCAATTGGAGAAATCTTGGATATTTTTAAGAAAATCTTGATGCTAGAGTTAGGGTGCCTACTTAGAAAGTTTTCAGAGTTGAGGGGAGACCACATATCCAAAAAATATTCACACTAAGAATGGCCCCCATTTTTGCCAGAGCAGATTCAGTAGTGCAGGCCACCATCTGATTCTTCTTAAATGTTCTATCTATCATATTTGTCCCAGAAATAGTGACCACCTTGGCCCCATAGGAG